CATATGAATTGATCGACAAAGGAGTTCCAATTTTTCTAGATTCGATTTCCAAATTTGGTAATAATCCTGACTGTATTGCAGTCACTATATTGATCGTGTGACATCACGGGTGACTGGTAGATCTTTTTTTCCGATTTTCTCAAAATCATGATTTTTGACGTTTGGTCCCTTTCTATTGTCCATGCCCCATATTTATGACCAGGAAGTGTATATCGAATACCCCAATGAATTATCAAGGTGTTATTGTTATTTTGACAATATATATATATCTCTTTTTGTTAGGGAAAATTAATCAATCTAAAGAAATTATAGTCAAGTCTTTTATTTTTGTAAATATTTATTTTATTTAAATATCTGATATTTGATACAATACATGTACATATATTTTTATTCTTTGATCCAATCATTTATCCATTTCCTAACACTATCCATAACATTCTTGACATTCTCTTCATTATAATCATTAAATTTCGTTGTTAATGCTTTTTTAGATTTTTCATAACAAATATCACATTCGTCTTTAAAATCCTTCATCATCACCACTTCCAAATAAATCAATGCAATAATAGTACACAATTTCACTTTTTGCTGCTCATCATCTTTATTTTCAAAATTATTTTCAAAATTGAATTCATCCATTGAATTTTTTCCAAAAAATTCAAAAAATTCATTTTTAGGTTGAAATTTACCATCAAATGATTGAAGTGACAAAAATGTTAATAGTGTTTCAATTTTGGGTTTTTTATGTTCTTTTATTTCTTCCTTGGTCGTCTCTTTCTTTTTTTCTTTTTGATTTTGATCATTATTAATATTATTAGTAGGAGGAAAAGAAAGTGGCGCAAACAAGCACAACAAAATTTTTTAAAGATACGTTAGTTAATTAATGTCAATATTAATATCATTTTTTAATATGCAAATAAATAAATAAATACCAGGAAAATTTCCATATGAACTTGTTTGAGCCACTACACAGCATTTTTTAATAATAAACTATGTTAAATATATTTTAAAATAGTCTTTTATTATGTAAGTAAATAATAAATACCATAAGGCTTGCTAGCACAATCCTGTTCTGATAATGCAGGTGGAAAAAGCAATGACTTGTAACTATTGTAACTACTTCTTACAATGTTTTCCTGATCATGTGGACTTGTTGTTGGTGGTTGAGGAGCAGCACCAAATAAAGACGGTGAATTCGTTGGTGGTTGAGGAGCAGCACCGAATAAAGACGGTGAATTCATTGGTGTTTGGGAAGCAGCACCGAATAAAGACGGTGAATTCGTTGGTGGCTGAGGAGCAGCATCAAATAAAGACGGTGAATTCATTGGTGTTTGGGAAGCAGCACCGAATAAAGACGGTGAATTTGTTGGTGGTTGAGGAGCAGCACCGAATAAAGACGATGAATTCGTTGGTGGTTGAGGAGCAGCACCAAATAAAGACGATGAATTCGTCGATAGTTGAAAAGCAGTACCAAATAAAGCCGATGAGTTCGTTGGTGGTTGAGAAGCAGCAACATATGAAGAAAGTGTATTCGTTGGTAGTCGAGGAGCAGCACCGAATCCAAATCCAAATGATGCATTTATTGGAGCAGCTACACAACATTTTTTTTAATATAATAAATAAATTACATGTTAATGTCAATATTAATATCATTTTTGATGTGCAAGTAAATACATAAATACCCAAGCCCAATGTATAAGAATTAGTATTAGTTCCAAAACCACAAAACCATCCAGGCATTTGCGGTGACATCTGTGATGATGCTTTATTTGGAACGTGTCTAACTTCTGGTGGTTTCTGAGAAATTGATTCTTTTGATTGTTCATCAATTACAATAAAACTAAAATTATATATAATAATAATCATTAATGATATTATTACTATTTATTAATTTACAAGAAAAAAATTATCATTAATATTTGTTGCTTACCTTGTATATTTTGAGATTAGATTATATTTTATTCCCAAGTTAACAATATAATCTTTAAATATATAATCAGGAATAGTTTTATCTTTAGATTTAGGGTGCTGATTAATGAATGATCTGTTTTCTTCCAAATCTTGTATAAGTTTTCTGGAAGCCAGTGTATGAATTTTTGATCCAGTCAAGGTTACATGATCTATTGGTATATTAAGTTTCATTGGCCCATCTGAAGATTTAGCAGTCAAGATAATTTCATTTGATGGTTGAACACCTTTTGATAAAATACAATAAACTGTAAACCTAACTCCTGGATAAATTTCTGGTATTTTATAAGGTGCTTGTTGTAATTTAACATGCTCCAATAATTTTTCAATATCTTTTTTAGGCTTTTCTGGTTTTTTTGTTGTTGTAGATGTTGGTTGTTCATTACTATAAAAACTAATTACAGGTTTATCTTTCTTTTCTTCTTTTTCTTCAGCTCCTTCTACTTCAAACAAATAACCAAAGAATTTATCTTCTTCTTCAACAGCTAATTATGGTAAAAAACTTGTGCCTGATGATGTAAAATATTCTGGGGAAGCAAATTATAAACTGGATTTAAAAATTAATTGTAGAATGACCTCAACCATTCAATCAATTGAGTCTCCTTCTCATTTGATCTCTACTGAATTAAATGTTAATGGTAATCCCAAAACTTCTAATGTTACTTTGGCTGAACAAATTACTTATTTAGAGAAAGATTTTGTTTTAGTTGTCAAGAGTGAAGATCTTGATAAGCCAAGGTAATTTTATTTATTTATTTAATTGTTTATATGGGTATTTATTATTATTACAGATTTTAAAAAAATATATTTTATTTATTTGTTAGGGCATTTCTTGAATATAACCCTAAAACAGAATCTAATTGTTTAATGTTGACATTAGTTCCAAAATTTTCTTTAAATCCAATTCAAACAGAAATAGTTTTTATAATTGATAGGTAATTTAATCATTCATTAATTTGTTTGTTTGATCATTTTTTCATGTCAAAATATCATCACTAAATAAATCATTTACTAAATAAATCACATTAATAATATTGATAAATAGATCAGGATCAATGCAAGGTGAACCAATTAAAAAAGCAGGCCAAGCATTAGAACTATTTCTACATTCATTGCCAGAAGATTGTTACTTTAATGTGGTATCATTTGGTAGTAGTCATGATTCACTATTTCCAAAATCTCAAGAATACTCCCAAGAAACATTGGATAGAGCCATCAACTTGGCAAAAAATTTAGATGCAAGATATGGTGGAACAGAAATTTACAACCCTATAAAATGGGCACTTGATAATCAATTGAAAACTATGACCACCACTTTATTTTTATTGACAGATGGTAAAGTTTGGGGAGTTGATAAAATCATTGAATTGATTAATCAAAATGTTGAAGATAAAAACAATGATTTAAGAATTTTTACATTGGGTATTGGTGATAGTGTTTCACATCATTTAGTGGAGTCAGTTGCTAGATCTGGTAATGGGTATGCAGAATTTGTTACTAATAAAGAAAGAATGGACAAGAAAATTTTGGGAATGTTGAAAAATGCTGTTAAACCACCCATCAATGATTATAGAATCAAATGGACAACAAGTTATGACAAACAAGATGAAGATGAAAATAAACTCTTTAATTATTTGTTTGAAGAAAAAGAGGAAAAGAAAGATAAACCTGTAATTAGTTTTTATAGTAATGAACAACCAACATCCATAACAACAAAAAAACCAGAAAAACCTAAAAAAGATATTGAAAAATTATTGGATCATGTTAAATTACAACAAGCACCTTATAAAATACCAGAAATTTATCCAGGTGTTAGGTTTACAGTTTATTGTATTTTATCAAAAGGTGTTCAACCATCAAATGAAATTATCTTGACTGCTAAATCTTCAGATGGGCCAATGAAACTTAATATACCAATAGATCATGTAACCTTGACTGGATCAAAAATTCATACACTGGCTTCCAGAAAACTTATACAAGATTTGGAAGAAAACAGATCATTCATTAATCAGCACCCTAAATCTAAAGATAAAACTATTCCTGATTATATATTTAAAGATTATATTGTTAACTTGGGAATAAAATATAATCTAATCTCAAAATATACAAGGTATAAGCAAGCAACAAATAATAATGATGATTTTTTTCTTGTAAATTAATAATAATAATAATATTATTATTATATTATTAGTTTTATTGTAATTGATGAACAATCAAAAAAATCAATTTCTCAGAAGCCACCAGAAGTTAGGCATGTTCCAAATAAAGCATCATCACAGATGTCTGAATATTATAGTCTTGGATGCAATACTAATACCAATAATAATCGTCTCCGTAACATAAGACAGTATGCTGTCAGCAATGATTCTCTTTCTTTTGGTATGGTATTTTTTACCTACTTACATATTAAAAATGGTATTTATCTATATTGATATTAACATAATTTATTATTAAAATTGTTATGTAGCAGCATCATCCAATATAAGTGCCAGTACATTATCACTTGGTATTTATTTATTTACTTACATATTAAAAATGGTACTTATCTATATTGATATTAACATAATTTATTATTAAGATCGTTATGTAACAGCATCATCCAGTATAGATACTAGTACATCATCACATAAATCATTTGGTATTTATTTATTTATTTGCATAATAAAAATAATTTAATATACATTTATCATTATTTAAGAAAATTAATTTATTATATTAAAGGCATAGTAACTAGAAAAGTTCAAAAGAAATTACGCAAGTCTCCTGGTATTTATTTATTTACTTACATTATTAAAAATGATTTTAATCTATATTATACTTTACTACAATATCCACAATCTTCAAATGCAGCATGTAATAATAGTCAAATTCTCTGCAATGATAGCAATGATAGCCCCATTATTCGTAACTGGAGTAATAGCTACATTAGTAATAATCACTCTAATAATAACAATAATAACAATAATAACAATTCCAATAAAGTCTATTTTCTCAGTAAGCATTGCTATGATATTTATTTACCTGGATATTAAAAATGATATTTATCTATATTAACATTTACCTATATTTAAAAAAAATTTGTTGTGTAGAATCATCTTTTAATAGTGTTAATAATGTTCGAAAAGAAAAAATGAAAGAGATGACCAAGGGAGAAATAAATGAACATAAAAAACCCAAAATTGAAACACTATTAACATTTTTGTCACTTCAATCATTTGATGGTAAATTTCAACCTAA